CTGTGACTTTACGACGAAGAGGCTGTATGTAACAAGAATGATTCGAAGTTTGCAACGAGCGACAAATTTTACAAAAGATAACGTCGCAGTCGTGACGCGAATTCGATTTCACGAAGCGTCCGCAGTCGTTGCAAATTCTAACGGATTTGCAAACGCTTGCGTCCGATTTTCCATCGTGAGATCTTTCCGCACGATGACGCTCGAAACAGGGATTTCCGAAGAACGTACGATTACACGAATCGCACCTAACCAACTCGGCGCCGGAACCCTCGCACGACGGAATCGCGTAATTTCGCGGACATATTTTCGCGCAACGATGCCCTCTACCGTTCCGATACCCGGTGTTGCACTCCACGCAATACCCCCCTCGAGAACCGGCCGCGGCTTTCATGTTTAAAATTGGTTGATAATGCCTCGAACGCGCGTAATACATAATATTTAAACGGAATGAAGGTTCACGACCTAGGGAGGAGAGTAACGCGCAGCCGTCGTACAACGGATTCTCGCCGCGACCAAAAGTACTGAAATTGTAAACAACTATCGCGATATTTTCCGCAGCGAGAAACCGTTGAAATTGCTCAATTTCACGAATTCCACATCCCTCCTCGGGAATCGTGATACCCGCAGGAATCGTTAATTCTTTAGCCAACTCGCGTTGTAAAGAAGAACGCTGATGTCTCACGGATTCCCATCTTTCATGTAGTTCCCCCACGCGTAATTGCCCGCGATCGTAATGCACGCGTGCCGCTACAAGCGAACGGGGAAAACATAAATTGTCGGAATTGACAATTTGTAAAATCGAGCGTTTGGCTACGTCTTCGTGCGTTAATCGATTGGACTGACGTCCGCGACCGGTAGGTAGCGCAACTCTGAAAACGCGTACCGTGAAATTTTCCGCGATATCGATTCCTCCAGCACTTTGCGCCAACGAACTCACGAGCCCCCATATGTCCTCGTGTATTAGATTGCGTGCTGGACGAAACGACAATCCCGCTGAACCACGCACTAGATCACTCGACTCAAACGATAATCCGACGTAATCGCTCGGTTCGCACGTATGTACCGCATACGTTCGAATTTCACGAAACGCGTTTTCTAGCCATTGAGCGATATCGCTACCTTCAGGTGGCGGCCGTATCGCAAAAGTCGCCTCTCTCCCTAGAATCGTGAAATTCCTAAATTGCCGCGAGTTTTCCGCCCGCAAATCTATATAATTAAAATTATTGACCTCGTGCTGACGACATCTTTGCTCCTGTTGCTGATGATCCTGCGCCTGATCTTCATTTTGAGCCTGACGAGGTGTCGGTGGTGTCGACGGCGACGGTGCAGGTGTCGACTGACGGGGTCGCGGGTTGACGATCTCCCCTTTGTGAAGGCGAAGGGAGAGCGTCTGAGGGCTGGACAGCACCACCACCAATTTGTACTGAAAAGTTAAACAAAAACTTTATTTAAATTTCGTTGACTTTGATATATTATGTCTAAAGCTTATCCCCCTCCCCACGTGTCATAATGAAACAGAAAAGTAAGGTAACTCACCTTTAGCTGCTTCATATGATCGTGAGCCGAGGATATTTTTTCGCTCGAGAAGTCTCACTAATATTCCGGCGACTGCGGTAAAACCGGTGAGTAGGAAACTTTTAATAGAGAAAATATACGTTTAAGAAAAATTTCTCGAAACAACGGGATAAAAGTAAACAATAAAATATTATTACTTTCGACGTAATTG